ACTATAACAGGTGGAGAAGCATTTGAATGTCAGTTTTCCTTCCCCTCATAAAGTCACTATAAACTACCTTCTCCCCTCATAAAGTCACTATAAACTACCTTATATATATATTATTGGTAGCACACGCTTTAGAGATGGTGCGAGAAGAAACAGAGTTTAAAAAAAAAACTATTCACTGACAGGCAAGGACAATTTTGTTGCCCAGCATCCCAATACAAGTGAATAGTAGATGCTGCTTGCTGCAAGTGCTACTGACACACTTTAAAAAGTTTCAGATGCACTGACTAGCACATCAAGAGATTTCAGTGTGTGACTCTGTTCCAGATACAGATTCAGAAAAGCTAAAAGAAGAAAACTGTCCTCCTGCTCAGTTTCCTTTTAAGCACCAAGCAGCAAAAGGGGATGATCTGGTTGTCTGACTCATTAAATCTCTCACCCGGCTCTGCTCACCATATTGCAAACCCATATTGCACTTTGGAAGGTGTAAATTAGCTGTTACCACTCAAGAAAGAGATCTTGGAGTCACTATGGATAGTTCTCTGAAAACATCCACTCAGTGTGCAGTGGCAGTCAAAAAAAGCAAACAGAATGTTGGGAATCATTAAGAAAGGGACAGATAATAAGACAGAAAATATATTGCCTCTATATAAATCCACGGTATGCCCACATCTTGAATACTGCATGCAGATGTGGTCGCCCCATCTCAAAAAAAGATACATTGGAATTGGAAAAGGGCAACAAAAATGATTAGGGGTATGGAACGGCTTCCGTATGACGAGAGATTAATAAGACTGGGACTTTTCAGCTTGGTAAAGAGATGACTAAGGAGGGATATGATTGAGGTCTATAAAATCATGACCGGTGTGGAGAAAGTAAATAAGGAAGCGTTATTTACTCCTTCTCCTAACACAAGAACTAGGGGTCACCAAATGAAATTAATAGGCAGCAGGTTTAAAACAAACAAAAGGAAGTATTTCTTCACACAACGCACAATCAACCTGTGGAAATCTTTGCCAGAGGATATTGTGAAGGCCAAAACTATAACAGGGTTCAAAGAAGAACTAGATAAATTCATGAAGGATAGGTTCATGAGTGGCTATTTGCCAGGATGGGCAGGGATGTGTCCCTAGCCTCTGTTTGCCAGAAGCTGGGAATGAGCGACAGGGAATGGATCACTTGATGATTACCTGTTCATTCCCTCTGGGGCACGTGGCATTGGCTACTGTCGGAAGACAGGATAGTGGGCTAGATGGACCTTTGGTCTGACCCAGTATGGCCGTTCTTATGAAGGAGTGTGCATTACTATTACTATTTATTTGTACTGCAGTATTGGCAACAGCTCTAACCAGAGACTGGGGCCCCACTGTGCTAGGCACTGTAAGTATGTAATGAAGAGAGGATCTCAGAGAGCTTACTGGCTAAATATGTACAATTACAAAATAAATTAGGCAGACCATATTTTCTAATTAGACCAAATGTGAGATATAGATTATCTCTGGACAAGTGATCCAAGGTCCCCATAATTTTTAATTCCAGCCTGTGATTAGGCATTACTACTTTGTAATTAGCATAAAAATTCTCTCCTCAGAGATTAAGACATCAGTTATATAGTATCCTGTTTATTCAATAAAAATATTTTCCCAACCACATACCTGAAATACTGACTGAAAGCAGCTAATACATTTTTATGTGCTTTGAAGCAGACGCCTTTTACTACCAACATGCAGTCACAGAGAAGGCCTTGAATGCGCTGTTCATGTAGCTGCTGGAGAAGATGACAACTATGGCTAGCAACAGTGTCCATGCTAGAATACCAGTTGATTACCTACAATACAATAAGATAAAAATACTCTTGGAATTAAGTTTTAAATTAAATATTGTATTTGCAGAACAAATGATATTAAAAATTAATGTATTGCTACTATTTTCCCTACCTCGCAAGGGAAACAGAGCTAATGTAGATGTCTAGTATATTTGGGCCATTTAACGATAAATGAAAAAACCTTTGGTGATTAATGGCTTTAGCCATTTAGTACAGACAAAGAAAGTTTTATTAAAGTCAATATTTTCTATTACAATGAGATTTTGCACAAACATCTAGTAATGGAGATGCCACAAATAAACTGAACTTTGTAACCAAACATTTTCCTTATTCACTTAAATATGTATTAGGCTTTAGCAAGCAGAACACAGAACATCCACAAACTTAACAGCAAGTTGGCATTTTGTATTGGAAAAACTCAGTTTCTTAATTCTCTAAACACAGAATAGAAAATCCTGGAAAGACCAAACATATTTATATTTATATCATGCTCATTGCTAGAGCATTGACCACATTTCACTTATAGTTCTCAGAGAAGTAAAATATAACAGTATTAGAGAAATTCAGGACTCTCATTTGTACTGGGAAAAAAGTTTACATCATATTTAAAGTCTCTTCAAGCTGTTCACGAGAGTGACCTGAAACAGAAAACATCTAACATTTGTTCCCAAATGAACAACTGTATATAATCTATGCTTTAACTTAATTTTTGCCCACGGGAAAGGAGAGGGAATCTCCCCCTTTCACATCCTTTAAAAGTAGGAGAGGAGAAAGAATCCAATCTTTTAGGGGCTTCTCTTCACTACTGGATCTAGCAGTGAAAATTAATTGGGTCACCCACCAAAAGAAATTTGCATATGCGTCACATCCTACAATTAAATTAGTTATCCATCACATTCTCAGGACTACTACAGGACACCATCCTGGGACCTTTTTGACATGTCTCCTTTTAATGCATCCTAATTATATGCAGCTTCTCATCTGCTATTACAGGGATGGCCAAACTTACTGACCCTCCGGGCCACATACAATAATCTTCAGAAGTTTGAGAGATGGGCATGCCTGCTGGGGCTCAGGGCTACAGCCCTGCAGCGGAGTGGTGGGGCTAGTGTCTTCTGCCCTACAGGGAAGGGGGGTGTCGGAGCTTCAGCCCCATGGGAAGCACCTCCCAGGGCTCAGGGCTTCAGTCCCGCTCCTTCTGAAGCCTCCAGCCCCAGCAGGTGTGCTCCAGGGGGCTGAAGCCTGCAGCACTTTAACTGTAAAAGAGATGCGGTTTGGCCACCCCTGTGATATTAAGAGGTATTATTTCATTGCACCTTTTGTTAAAATTCCTATCAGAGATTCACCAAGTCACTAAAACTTACAAATGGTTCACTGAAAACCCCTTAAGCCTATAATAGTTCTTAAAACCTCTCCCTGCTCCAAAGGATTTTATAGTTTATTAAAACAATCTGTGACCCTGGTGTGTGTGTGTTTTAAGGACAGTAAGCGCAAGTGCCTCACTCCCCTGGGGGAAGGGAACCCAAAGGTGCTGCAAGCCACTGCCTTATCAGGAATAATTTCAGCAGCACACTAGACTCTTTATTTTTCTTTTAAATGTTCATTAAAAGTCTCCATGAAGTCTGAACGTGGAAGAAAACAACCTCAGGTGTAACACAGGGGAAGGCAGACAGGGAAAAGGTTTGCTCCAATGTTAGCAGATAAGGAATGTAAGAGGGTCACTATCATTATGTGAATTCCCACTTTAGCACTAGCTACAGGGTTAACATGAGTGTGTAGAAGTGAGGGCGGGTCTCGTCTAATGTTAGTGGGTGTAGGGAGGAGGATATACAAGGTTTATGCTAACCCCAACATTATCCCTAGCTACAAGTATACTATAAGGGGAAAGATGTCACTTGTCTAATGTTAGTGAGTGGGGTAGAGAGATATGCAGTGCTGGTTGTGCTAACCCCCAGGTTAACCCTACTTACTGGGCTAACATGAGTGTGGTGGGTGTGGTCTAATGTTGAAGGGTGGAGGAGGGGGTGGGGGGCACGCAGGGGTTATACCAGGGGTAGGCAACCTATGGCACACGTGCCGAAGGCAGCACGCGAGCTGATTTTCAGTGGCACTCACACTGCCCAGGTCCTGGCCACCAGTCTGGGGGGCTCTGCATTTTAATTTAATTTTAAATGAAGCTTCTTAAACATTTTTAAAACCTTATTTACTTTACATACAACAATAGTTTAGTTATATATTATAGACTTAGAGAAAGAGACCTTCTAAAAACATTAAAATGTATTACTGGCACGCGAAACCTTAAATTAGAGTGAATAAATGAAGACTCGGCACACCACTTCTGAAAGGTTGCCGACCCCTGGGTTATACTAAGCTCCACATTAGCCCTCACCACACGTATAACGTGGAGGAAGTTTGCCCACCAACATTAGACTGAGAACAATATATACACACGCTATATACCTCCAAGTCAGCCCTAGTTACGGATATAACGAGGGACTGGTGTAATGTTAGGGACGGAGGAGGGAACATACAGGGGTTATACTAATCCCCAGGTCAGCCCTAGTTACAGATATGTGGGGCTGGTTTAATATTGGGGAGTGAGAAAAGGAATACATAGGGGTCATAATACCCCCCCCCACAAGTCAGCCCCATTTACAGATATAACGTCGGGGGCTGGCGCAATATTGGAGGGTGCGGGACCGGTTATATTGCCCCCAGCTACAGGTATAACACAGAGGCAGGGGGGACGCTGCTCCAGCGTTGACGGGTTCGGGCAGAGGCAGACTCCAGGTGCTAACTGCCGAATCACTGACCCTGAAGAGTGAGGCCGGGCGGGGCCTGGCCCCGGTACCGGAGCAGGGCTCCCAGCACTGGAGAGCGGGGATCTGCTCCTTTCCCTAGGGGGCCGCTCTAAGGTCTCCTCCCTCCCAACCTTCCTACCGGCTCCGGCGCCTTCTCTCCTCCATCACCGCGGCCACCCCATGCCGGCTTGATCCCGATCGGGCCACTACCCTCCCGTCCCGGCACTTCCGGTGGAAGCACTTCCGCTTCCCTGTAGAGGTACAGGGGAGAGGACTCGCGATAGCACGCGAGCCGGGGGGGAAGACGATAGTGGGGACACCGAGGCGCATGTGCAGCAGGGGAAGGGGAACATGAGGACACCATCCGGAGCGCAGGCGCAGTTGGGGCCGAGCCATACCTCTTGCTCCGCGGCGGCCGGGTGGAGGGAGGCGAGGTGGCCGCGGCAGCACGTGCCGGGTGCGGGATTGGCCGTTGGAGGCTGTGGCGCAGCATTTAAAGTGAGTGGAGGGGGGATTTTTCAGGCCTGCGCGGTTCGGAGCGCCGCAGGCTCCTAGGCCGCGGTCTGAGGGGCGCTTCCCGGGCATGGGAAGCAGCTGCGAGCACCGCGTCAGGCCGGGGCCTCTCCCGCATGGAAGCCGGGTGGAGCAGGCCGAGCCCCGCCTGTGAGGGTGTGGAGGGGTCGGTGGCGCCCCGGGAGAGCCCATCGGAGAGCGGGGAATAATGGCAGGGACTGGGAGACGCGCCTGTTGTCAGCTCGCGGCGCGCTCCGCCGGGGGACCTGCCCCGCGTTCCCGCCGCCGGGCTACGTCTGCCGTGACCCATTCCCTCTTCACCTGCCTGCGCTATGCGATGGATATTGGACGGGAGGTTTATGCAGGGCCCCCACTAACCCGTCCTGCCCCAGAGAGCCCCCAAGCCTGAACGAGGGAAACACAGGGGCCAGCAGGGAGGAGAATTACAGTGAATAATATGCGCTCGCCAGCCGTGGGAGCGCTGCTGGAGCTGCGAGTTGAGCGCAGATAGCATGCGGCGAGGAGTAGGCGGGCGGGCGGTAATGTTCATGAGCAAGGCCTGGCGTAGGTTTGAAACAGGTTGGCCTAGCTATCTCAGGGCAAGTCTACACTACAGCGCTATGTAGGCGCAGCAGCGCGTCTGGTGAAGACGCGCTATACCGATGGGGGAGAGTTCATCCGTCAGCATAATTACGCCTCCACCTCCGCAAGAAGCGGAAGGTGCATAGATGGGAGAGTGTCTCCTGCCAACGTAGCACCGGTGTGGACAGTGTGAAAGTTGCACCGCTGGAGGGGTGGGGTGGAGCTCTTCACAGTGCTGAATGATGTAACTTGTATCGATTCAGGCTGTAGTGTAGACCTGCTCTCAAGGTGTGAACATTTTTGTGCCCTGAACGCTGCAGTAAGTCAACCTAATCCCCAGTGTAGAGGTAGCTAGGTCAACAGGCTTCTTCCTTTGATCTAGGCCTGGTCTACACTAAGCCCCCAGTTTGAACTAAGATACGCAACTTCAGCTACGTGAATAACATAGCTGAAGTCGAAGTACCTTAGTTCGAACTTAAAGGTACTTACCGCAGGTCCACACACGGCAGGCAGGCTCCCCTGTCGACTCTGCCTACTCCTCTCGCAGAGCATGATTACCGGCGTCGATGGCGAGCACTTCTGGGATCGATTTATCGCGTCTGACAAGATGTGATAAATCGATCCCAGAAGATCGATTGCTTGCCCCCGAACCAGCCGGTAAGTATAGACATACCCCTAGCTACCACCTCTAAGAGAGGTGAAATAACTACATTGACAAACCCTTTGTGTCGATGTAGGAAGCATCAGGGCCGCAGCACTGTAGCTGTGCTGCTGTGGCATAGACATGCCCTAAGTGAAAGAAATGGGTTCTACAAGGGGATCTGAAGAAGACCAAGGATGCCTGGCATGAGATACCCCTTAGTAAGAGCCAAATATGGGAGCGGGTTTTAAAAAAGGCGTGAAGGCAAGACTGGGAGGAGAAACAAAGGGAGAACTAAAATGAGAAAAGCGAGATGGAGAGCAAGAGATGGTTATTTAGGCAGAGGGATAAAGCTTTAAATTTTGAGTGAAAAGAGTTCGATCTTTATGCAAAATGTGACCAGGAATCCCTGATAACATCAGGAAGTCAAAAGTGCTAGGAGAAGATTGTTTTTATCAGTACAAAGTTGCATAGAATAGAGTCCGTGACTCTCGGCTGTTCAGATTGGAGGAGGTTAAATTAATCCAGGTGTGAGACAATACCATGGTGTCTGAACCAGGATTTTGGCAGCAGAGACAAAAAGGAAGGGCATATTTCAGAAATGTTACAAAGAGAGAACAGCAAGATTTGGCAAGCATTTTAATGTGAGGAGAGAAGGAAAGGCAGGAATCAAAGGTAATCCACGTTTGTGACGTGCAGTTTTCTATTTAAAAACATCAGAATAATTGTTTGAGTTGTATATACAGAGAGATAAGTTTGCAATTAAAAATGAATGCTACATAGAAGCGCAATTAACTTGTGAATCTTGTTCACATTTAAGTCTGTTTGTTAGATTGATCCACGTGCACTTAATTTGTGTGGGTTGCTTACATTTTTCTTAAATATAATTCACATGTTTTTTTAGTTTATAACATGAATTGCATAATTTTTTTGTAGATTTCGATTTGAAAAAGAAGCAGTTGTAAGCACCTTTTGAGAAGAAACTATTTCAATCACTTCACCAAAATGGTAGTTTTTACCTGCAGTGCATGTGGAGAATCTGTGAAGAAAGGGCAAGTTGAAAAACATGTAAACATTTGCAGAAACTGCCAGTGCCTTTCTTGCATGGATTGTGGCAAAGATTTCTGGTATGTCAACGATGTTTGTGTAGTAGAGCTTGACAGATAAACTTGCACACTTAGCAGTGACCATAGAAAAGCTTCCTAGGATATGTTAGAGTTAAATTATTTTGTGAGGTATTCAGGTTTTCATTTAAAACCAAAAAAACCCAAACCAACAACTCTAGCTGTAAGCTTGCGCAAATACCCTTTCAAGTGTGAACCAATGTGCTGTCCTGAGTTGGCAGTTGGTAGACCAGTGGTTTTCAAACGGCGGGTTGCGACCCAGTACTGGGTCACGGAATGTAAAGCACTGGGTTATGACAGCTCTGGTCAGCACCACCGACCGGGCCGTTAAAAGTCCCATTGGTGGTGCTGCCCGGCTAAGGCAGACTAGTCCATACCTGTTCTGACACTGCGCTGCGCCCCGGAAGCAGCTAGCAGCAGGTCCAGCTCCTAGGCGGGGGGGGCCACGGGGCTCCAAGCAGTGCCCCTGCCCCGAGCACAGGCTCTGCACTGGGAGAGGGCGGTGCCTGCGGACGAGAGCCGTGCGGAGCCGCTTGCACATCTCCACCTAGGAGCTGGATCTGCTGCTGGCCGCTTCCGGGGCGCAGTACAGTCTGCGGTGCCAGGACAGGCAGGAAGCCTGCCTTAGCACCCTGCTGCGCCGCTGACCAGTAGCTGCCCAAGGTAAGCCTGAGCCCCCCCCCCCCCCGCCGCAACCCAGATCCCTGTCCTGCACCCCAAACCCCTCATCCCTGGCCCCACCCCAGAGCCAACATCCCCAGCCCAGAGCCCTGACCCCCTCCTGCACACCAAACTCCTCATCCCTGGCCCCAGCCTGCACCCCAATACTCTACCCCAACCCTGAGCCCCTCCCACACTCCAAACCCCTCATCCCCAGCTCCGTTGGGTCGCGGGCATCAGCAATTTTCTTCAACTGGGTCGCCAGAAAAAAAGTTTGAAAACCACTGTGGTAGGCCATTCCAGTGGTTCTACTGCATAGCTTCTCCAAAGTAGTAGCAGAGTGAGAAGATTAATTTCACAGTTGCTCTTCAGAGCCTTAGGTGCATCCATGAAACCGACAAGAAATTATGCTAAAAACATATAAGCAGCAACAAGTTCTAATTGTGAGGTAAGAGGGCCTAAAAATGAAGGCTGCACTTCTGTGCAGGTTGAAGTGGGTTACTTATCATACTATTGCTCCCTCATCTTTGGTATTGTTTATTTGCTTTCCTTTTGTTAGTAACTTAAGTGTTACGGCATGTAGGTGCCTGCTAAAACTTTTCAATCCCTGTTAAATGGTGTAAACATCAAAGTTACCATTGTTACTCTTTGCAGCTATGAATTATAGTACTTTGAGCTTTTGATTATGGCAAAAATGTTGCTGATTGCTGCAGAATCAGTGTGACTGTGGAATACTTTTTGCCAAAATTGTAGCAGCTCTGCCTGCAACTACCCAAATTCTTCAAAAAAGCCCCACTCTACAGTCTACCTTCCCAAATGTAAAAGTAGAAATTAGTTTTATCTAAATTAACAGGCAATAAAATATTGTAGGTACAGACCAGTAGGCTCTCTAGTGGTGGAATTTGCTTTTCCATTATAATTATCAGTTCTATTTTTCAGTTATAAATAACTGGATCAGAAACATGTCCCTAGACAGAACTTGGTAAACAATCTCTAAATCCAGGAACAAGTTTATTTTAGAAGTGTATCTGTTTTTTCCATTTTAGCACTAGTATCTGCTACAAAATTCAGGCCCCATTCAACTTTGCTGAAGGGGAAGAATGGTCCAGTGGTTAGGGCATTAACCTAGGACTTGAACTGAAGCCAGGTCTCCCTTGCTCCTCCAGACTTCCTATGTAAACTTGGCCAAGTCACTTAGCCCGTCTCTGTTCCCAGTCAGTAAAACAAGGATAAATAGTACGTCACAACCTCACAAGAGTGTTGTGAGGATTAATACATTAAACATTGTGAGGCACTCAGATACTATGGTAATGGGAGCCATATAGCTACTTTAGATTTGAGCAATGAGTGGTGCTCCATAAATGGTTTTTAAACTGTGCCGAAGAGCTTTTCCACAATATGAGCATAGGTAAATGTTACGTATAACAATGTATATATGTAATTATAGATGTATACTACTTTACTTTATATTTATTAAAGACCTAATTCTGCATTCTTTGCAAATCTTAACATCCATTGAAGTCAAGTGATATTTATCAGGCCCTAGACTGGCAAGAATTCAAGCAGTCCTCAAATATGCATGTACTTTACTTTACTCATGTGAATAGTTCCACTGACTTCAATGGGGCCACTAACACAAGCAGAAGTTTACACATTTGTAAGCATTCATAGGATTGGAAGATAAATTTGTATTGTACAATTATAACTCAAGTTTCCCTGCTTATGAAGGTTGCCTTGTTTGAGAGACTGACTGTGACCTGTTAATAGTTTTGTTAATTGAAATGGAACACGGTTTACAGATTTTAAGTGTGGCTTATTAATATTTAAGGGGTGATGATTATAAGAGCCATGTGAAATGTATAAGTGAAGATCAGAAATATGGTGGCAAGGGTTATGAAGCCAAAACTAACAAAGGAGATGTTAAACAACAGGAGTGGATCCAGGTAACACTTTTAAAAATATATATTTAATGTTCTTTTCTTTCTGATAACTCAACTTTATTTCAGAAAACCTTGTATACTAAAAACATAAATATGAATTCATATTGGGAAAATAAATGTACAGATGTTTTATTTTAAATAACAATACATGTTCTGAAAAATGGCCTGAAGTGAAGAGAAGAGCAGACAAGCCTGACACTCTAACATTAATGCACTTCACCAGCTGAGGCATCAGAAATTCAGGTTCTGTCCTTGCTCCTGTGCTAGATATTGGAAATGTTAACATGCCCTTCTCCTGCAGGGAGTATGTCCATCTATTGTGACCCTGCTTACTTTTTAGGGGGCTGAATTTGATTATTTATCTAGTGGGGTGGTTGCTGTAAGTTGTGGAAAAGGAGAAAAAAGTGACAACCAAAAATTGGTGAGAGGATTCTTGAGGTTTCTAAGAGGGGTTTTAGAGATCTCTTTATCTCAGCCTTGAGAATGAATGCATGAAGTAGAGAATTGTAAGTATGTATTTATTTATTTATATAAATAATCCCATTGACTCTTTCTTATAAAAAACGTGACAGTATTGTAATCAGTAATACAGGTATTGAACTGGATTTGTAACCTTGTTTCTTCCACCTCTATAGCAACATCATTGACAATTGTCACTTGAATTGCTTCAAAAATTATCATCAACAGTAAACTAAGGGCTTGTCTATGCAAACATTTAATTCGCAGCAATGTGAAGTGTGAATCTACTCAACAGTAACCTGCTGTGCACTAAGGGTACATCTACATTGCACCTGGGAGTATGCTTCCCAGCAGGGGCAGATGAACCTGTGCACTAACTCTACTTGAGCTAGCGTGCTAAAAATAGCAGCATGGCTGCAGCAGCTCAGGCTAGCTACCCAAGTACAGTCACACCTGACCTGCTAGGTATCTACTCAGGCGGCTAGCCTGAGCTGCTTCCCTTCCCAGAGTGGCCACACTGCTGTTTTTGTGCTCCTGAGGAAGCACACAGCCCTTTACAATGTAGACATCACATAGCCTAAGTATTTGTGTAGACCCTGCTGACATGTTCTAACAGTTCCTTAGTATGCTCTGATCTCCCCTGCTTTGCAGTAGAAGTAGATCAAAGCACACTAAGAAACTGTGAGCAGGCTCCACACAGGCACTTAGTATGTGGCAGGCTAGTGCAGGGTACATTCACACCCCAGCTTGTTGCAAACTAAGTGTTTGTGTAGACAAGCCTTAAAGCCGCTATCCTGCAGACCACTGAAACCGGTATGTAACTTTAAGTATTTAAATAATCCCATTGATTTGAATGGGATTATAGATATCATTAAAGTTATTCGTGTATTTGAATGAATAGCTAGAACAGGCCCTGAATTTGTGTGGATGGTGGTGTGAAGATGGGCACTAGATTATAAAAAGTACTTACTTTTAAGTTACCAAAAAGCAGCATAGTTTCATAGTGCTTCCCCATTTATCTGATGGTCCTGAGAGATACACAAAACCTTTGGGGGGAAAAACCCTTGAGCAGTCCAGTGTCTATTGGTTATGCTTTTAATTTGGAAACCCACTGTGCAGGTTTGTCAAAGATAACTGCTCCCCTTCTTTTAAAAGGCTGTGAAATTCTGGAGTGATTTATGAAGAGACAACCAGCTGGCATTCTCTTCTAGTACAACTCACAGGGTATAACCAAACTTTAGTGTAACAAAGTTCTCCAGTGTTATGCTACTTGTCCTACTTTTAGATATTTTAAATTCGAGATCATTGCTGAGCTGATTTCTCCCCCTCTCCCCCCGTTTTACCAGTGCATGATCTGAAAACGAAGATAAGCTATATAGTGTGTAGATTTAGTATATAAGTAGTGGAATAGCTTACCTTGGCCAGGCTTTCTGAATTTCATTTTTCAAACTCAGTGCATCAGTTGTGTTTCAGCTTAGCTGTAAAGTGTGTAAATGATTCATATAATCACTTTCTATGATTTTTTTTTCCCAGTGAATTTTAAACAAAAACTCAAGAATTGGTGTTTCTCGTGCACTTTTTGTAATACTATCGCACTTTCAGAATTGGCTGTATAATCTGTCTAAATATAAAGCTGGTAAAAAACTAGACTGTAAGCTAAATGGTTTGCAGATGTTATGTATTCAAGGTACTCTGTATTTCTGATCTCATCTTGCATCTGACTTTGCTAGTTAACTCAGTACTCCTTTGACAAGTTATTCGGTTTCTTTCTTACAGAAGATTCATGAAGTAATAAAGAAGCCAAACATTAGCCCCAAAGTGAGAAACATCTTGGAGCAAATGCACACCTATGACAATATTCCAAGAAAAAAGGTCAAATTTCAGGTATGATTTTAGAGACAAGTAGTGGATTTGAAATTAGGACTAATGGATTATACACTCATATGTGCCACTAACTTGTGTTACCTGAGACAAGTTGCTTAACCTGTCTGTACATCTGTATAATTGGCAGGTGGGAGAGAATAACTGTCTGCCTGAGACTTACTTAATATTTATAGAGCATTGATCTTTGGATGAAAGGCCTTCTGTTTATGTAGTTTTTATCTAAATTATTATTAGTCAGACATGTTGAAGAATTTGTTGGGTTTGGAGCCCTGCAAGTGCAAATTCCCCCTCTGTAAGTCTCTCCCCTCAAACCACACACTTTAATATTTCTCCATTTGCTGTTTCTGCCAATTTACACATCCCCAAACACACCTCAAAACATTGAGTGATCTTTCTGCTAGACATTGCTCCTTCCAGAAACCTTCATTGCCGTTCAGGGCTCTAACTTGTATTCCTCCAAATAACACCTTATTGAGCTGCCACTAGACAACTATGCCAGGTTCCACATATTTTATATAGCATCCATAAAGAGTAACAGACATGTCTGGGATAAGTGAGCATGTTTCTCCTACTCCATGCCTCAGTTTGTGTGGCTGATAATGGACAATACGTATATTCGTATAGTGGACCACAAGCTAAATATGAGTCAACAGTGTGATGCTGTTGCAAAAAAAGCAAACGTGATTCTGGGATGCATTAACAGGTGTGTTGTGAGCAAGACACGACAAGTCATTTTTCCGCTCTACTCTGCGCTGGTTAGGCCTCAGCTGGAGTATTGTGTCCAGTTCTGGGCACCGCATTTCAAGAAAGATGTGGAGAAATTGGAGAGGGTCCAGAGAAGAGCAACAAGAATTCTTAAAGGTCTAGAGAACATGACCAATGAAGGAAGGCTGAAAGAATTGGGTTTGTTTAGTTTGGAAAAGAGAAGACTGAGAGGGGACATGATAGCAGTTTTCAGGTATCTAAAAGGGTGTCATAAGGAGGTGGGAGAAAACTTGTTCATCTTAGCTTCTAAGGATAGAACAAGAAGCAAGGGGCTTAAACTGCAGCAAGGGAGGTTTAGGTTGGACATTAGGAAAAAGTTCCTAACTGTCAGGGTGGTTAAACATTAAAATAAACTGCCTAGGGAGGTTGTGGAATCTCCATCTCTGGAGATACTTAAGAGTAGGTTAGATAAATGTCTATCAGGGATGGTCTAGACAGTATTTGGTCCTGCCATGCGGGCAGGGGACTGGACTTGATGACCTCTCAAGGCCACTCTCGAGGTCCCTTCCAGTGCTAGAGTCTATGAATCTATGAATTCAGGTTCAGGAAACAGAAGCTGTGGTGAAACTACTTGAGCTACCACAGCAGAAGTGAACATTCAAGTAGCTTTCTGAGGAATCAGTGATTTCAGGTGAAGTGAATGGTATTGCCTGGGAACTTGCAACGTAATATACCAAAGCTATAGAGATCAAAAACTTGAACAGTGCGATGTCACTTCAGTAGTCCTTTCCTGGAACAAATGAAATAGTACGTTGCAATGAGGAAACCTTTATGGCCACACCATTAAAGCCTTTTTTTTTTTTTTTTTTTTTTAATTTAAATCTGCTTCTGCTGATTTCTCAGAATATCAGAAGAAATTTGCTGCTGCACTTTCCTCTTCCTGAGACAGCTCCAACAGTTTTCTAAACAGATACATGTGAAACTTATTTGCATTTTAATAATCTGTGACAAACTAAGGAAATGACCTTGGAGTGTACTCACTTGTCCAATATTTTAAATTACTTCAGTGAGCCTGAATGTTATCCCTCACTTAATAAACAATTACAGGGTTTAAAGGGATGTTAGCACAATTGGCAGTCCCTACTCAGAAGAAGCCTGGAACTAATTCATGACCTGGACAAGAATTTTGTGCAGCTATTGATGTGCTCAGTTAGAGGCATGGATGGCATGTGGCATATTATAATAGATACAAGTAATATGCAAAATAAATTAGAGCAGTAGCACAAAGGGGAGAATGAACCTTTAGCCTGCCGACCACTGTATCAGCTGACTGACTCCTAGATTTCATCAGTACGTGGCCATATGGTGTTGGAATTATTAAATAATTTGAAATTATTAATATGGGAAATCACCAAACACTAATTTAACCATAAATTATTTTATTAAATCCAAAGGCCAAATAGTACTTTATGCAGTTGCTCCAAATATGCCTAAAAAGCCTAAGTAACAGGCAGTTTGCTTCATCCAAATAGTAACAAAACATTTATAAGTATTTGATCAAGATACTTACAAATGGGCTAAACCCAGGGGTGCTCAAACCCCATATTGGTTGGCTCCAGCATAGTCAGGCAGGTATTAGCAATGAACCCTTAGAGTTGACTTTTTTTATACCCTTTAACAAATGTCATTGCCATTTACTGACTTCAGCTAAAAACAAATTGGAGACAATTTACCCATATTTCTAGTTTTAATCCAGATAAGATTTACAACTTCTTTCTTCCCAAGGCCTTTCTTCCCCTCCTTGCTGTCCAGCAGTTTTTTCTCATTGCACCTGGGTTCACACTGGTGTGTGGGTTGGGGAAGGGCCGTGTTGGCTCATTTTAAGATAGATTCTTCGTTTGATTTTTTTTAAAATCATCTGCAGTCACCCCTATCAGTCAGAGGCCGCCTTTTCACTTATCCCATTAGTTATTCTTTAAACCATACATTCTCCCTACTTTATTTCTTTTGGCCTTATAAATCATTATTTTGAAAGCCTTTCTTCTAACTTGCTAGTCATGGCCTTTCTTTGCAACACACACACATTTCCTTAACCAAACTTCAGTTAATTTTAATTCTTTAATTTTATACTTATCCTACATATGGTTAAAAAGTTAAAATTGAATGCCTGTCACTTCTCATTTCTACTATTCTTTTTCTGCACAGAATTGGATGGTGAACAGCTTTAATGTTGACAATAGTGCTCTGCAGGACCAGGTGTGGGATATCTTTTCTGAAGCAACCAGCAACGTAAGTCAAATCAAAGCCACAAAATCTTTCAGTAAGAATACAACAATAGGGCAACAGGGTGGAGAACCTTCAAGACCCCTATTGGAGACACTAAGTACTGTATATTAGGGAAGAGTCATTTCTGGTGTCCAAAGAAAAGATGGAGAGTATGAGACCAAATTTTTGCTAATCTATGGCGCAATGTGTTGCTGATACAGCATAGCTGGGGTATGCACAACAACGTCTGAAGGTAAGCTATAGGCAGTGATCGCATCATGGTAGTAGGAAGGTATGTGTAAACTTCTTATCCCAGATTGCTTTTTCTAATAAGGAACAGAAATTCCACTTTCTGATCATTACTACCCCAATCTGACATCTGTGTCCGATAATATTTTTGCACATCTTTTTTCCATTGTAACGGAAAGTATGTATGTTGTTTCATTTACCCACCCATTGGAGTGTTTTATTAACTCATTTTATAAGTGCAACTTTAAAATTGGATTTTTCTATTGAAAGAATAGTTTCTATTAAATATAAATGTTATCTAATGCATTTTAAGATTAATAATTCTGTTCCCAGAGGCACAGCTTCATTAAGATGAACTTAAGGTTAAGAATATCAATAACTTAAGGGTAAAACATCATAGGTATGTTTCAACTGTTCCCCAGTCAAGTGTTCCAAACCTAGGAAATTCAGAGTTAAGGTTACACTTAAAAGAGATCCAAACATATTAAGAAATGCACCGTTAAGACAACCAAGCAACTCTAACTCTGACCTGTAGTGATGTCATGCAATAACTGTCAGAGTACGATTAAGACATTTTTACTGTTTGTGGTCCCAGATATTCATTTCCCCCCCCCCCCCCTTGTGGCCTCACTGCAGGGCAGTAATAAGTTTGTTACTCGAAGTGTAAATGCTGTAAGTTTGGAGAGTATGTGCTCGTGTTTTCATACAAAACGCAATGGTGAATCCATGCTTTAAGTCAGGGGTCAGCAACCTTTCAGATGTGGTGTGCCGAGTCTTCATTTATTCACTCTAATGTAAGGTTTCGTGTGCCAGTAATACATTTTAACGTTTTTAGAAGGTCTCTTTCTGTAATATATAACTAAACTATTGTTGCATGTAAAGTAAATAAGGTTTTTTAAAATGTTTAAGAAGCTTCATTTAAAATTTTTAAATTAAAATGCGGAGCCCCCCGGACCGGTGGCCAGGACCCGGGCATTGTGAGTGCCACTGAAAATCAGCTTGTGTGCCGCCTTTGGCACGCATGCCATAGGTTGCCTACCCCTGCTTTAAGTACAAAATGGAACTCAGTCTTGCTTATGGAGTTGTAACCAGCAACTCTCAACAATTTTTTAAAAAAAAACTTTTATCTACGTGAGCTGGATGCTCCCAATTTCTGTTTAATATTCTGATTTGCTTAGCTGTTGCCAACACATTCTGTCTCTCATAGAGAAGTACCTTTACCTGTTCACTATTATATTGTAATTTAGGAACTACCCTCTGCCTGGACTTGCCTCGTTCTTCTCTGATGTTCCCTACTGCTGCTTGCCTGAGCTTCACAGCACTCCCATCTCCCTGGAAATTTTGCTGTTGCGATGAAAAAAATTAAGTTGATCATGTTGGAACATCTAAAATAATGAATAAACTAATATATATTGCAAATGCCCACTTCATTCTTCTAAAAACAAAATTAAGTGAATAACAAATGACAAGCATGCATGTGTTGTAAATTTTATCATTTCAGATGGGGCAGTTAGAGTAAGGCATGTCCTTTAGTCTTCAACTAAGATGCATTATCTCCACCAAGTAATGCTATCCTCAATAATTGATTGTGTTTGTTTGTTTTTTTATTCAGAGCATAACATTTCTCTTCCTCCCCCACTGCATAATGCAGTAGATCTGGGTGGCATTACCAAATGAAGTATGTAAAAGACATTTTTATTACAATATTATTTTCTTTTAACAAAAGGGGCCAAGCAAAAAAGAACTAGAGAAACCATTGCAGAAAGTAGGAAGCCAGCCTGTAAAAAGTGAAGTAAACCCATTGTCTACAGAAAAAAACGAAATGACGGCTGATAAACTTGAGAGGAAAAAGAGTAAAAGAGAGCGAAAAGAAGAAAGACAAAAGAACAAAAAGACAGAGAAAAAAGAAGTGAAATTAGAAAGCCAACGAGAGAACTCGGAAAATAAAAAAGACAAAAAGCCTAAGAAAGAAAAGGAAGGTACTGAGGATGAAAATGAGGAAACTTCCAAAAGTAATAATGCAGAAAGGAAGAAGAAGAAGAAAAAGCATGAGAGGAATATTACAGCTCAGGTGGAAATAAATGGAAATGGTAATCATAATGAAGAAGAAAAACAAACACATATAAAGAAACAAAAACGTAAACATGCAGAAGGTATATATCTAGCTCACATTCCATGCAGTTTTTAGTGAAGACTGTTTTCTTTTTGGCATCTTGGAAACTCAGTAACCTGCTTTGGTAGAATCTTTACAACACCTATAATTCATAAGTTGTGGTTTTTTTTGTTTATTTGTTTTTTTAAGTATACAATGCAACCTAAAATAAAACATTTGTAATGTGATGCAAGTTTTTTTTAATTTCAAAATCGGGAAAAATCTTACAGCAAACTCCAATGCCAAGAATAGAAACTTTTTAGTTACATTTTCTTTTTGGTAATTTAAATTTTTTAATATTTCCTCATCATATTTATCTCTTATCCCACACACTCCCCTTCTCTAGAAGAACCTTACACCAGAACAAAAAGAATGAAATATATAAAAACATCTGCAGCCACAGAAACTGAAAAAAGTGAGGATGCAGCCATGGAAACTGAAGAAATTGGGGATGCAGATAAAGGTATCTTCAAACTTAAAATGGAAGTTTAGATGTGTATATTTTAGTAAGATAGTTATGTGCTTATGAAATCAGTCATTAAGTGCTGCTATTCATTTGGGGCAAAACTCTGAGCAAAGGGCTGCCCCAGGAGAAGACTGTGAACCAGATTGTGACTAAGGGCTTGTCTTCACAGTGTTGCATAGCTGGGAGATGCTGTCTGGTCGACTTAGCTTACCCTTTTGGGAGAGCACCATAGTCAACCGGATAGCACTCTTCCATCGATTTAGCGGGTCTTCACTAGACCCGCTAAATCGACACCTGCTGCATCGATTGCAACAGCATCAATCTCCCTGTTGTTGAAGACAAGCCCTCAGTCTGTTTCATACCTTGCTCCATGGGAAGTAATCTCTGCGAACCTGATACCTGGTGCAGACTATTTCCCCTGATTTGTTTTGTTCAGCTGTGCTGGCTACTATCCACAGCACCCACTTTCACTCACCTTCTAGGAATGGGCAACAACAGCCCCACAGAGGCTGCTCTCTCTTGTGTCCCTACATACAATATGGGTAGCCAGTGCAGGGAAGTAAAAGGGGGTGGCATGTCTTGCACCCGCTTAGTCCTTTGCATGACGTGATAGCTGGGTCACAAATTGTCCTTATTTCTATTTTTAGCTAGTTGTATTTGACATCCGGGATATGTATAATGAATCTTTTATTGAGCCCATGTAATTTGGGGATATAGTTTTCACATTTAGAAGCAATACTAATTAACGGCTTCCTAAGTTTGCATTATATGTTAAATTTGCCACCTGTGTTTTTAAAAAAAGGAAGAAAAAAAAACAAGCACCTCAATTTCCTATTTGTGTGTCACATAGGAGCTGAGATAAACTAGATAAAAGTGCTTTGAGAGCTACTGGTGAAAAGCATGATATAATATTTATTTTAAGGGCTCAGCTTCTCCCTTTCCCAGGATGGTGTCTTGTCATTTGTTCTTCCTTCATCCAAAGGTAGCTGAGCTGGTGTGCTAATGCAACAGCACCCACTTCGGTCAGACGGAGCATTGCACAGAATCTGCTTCGTCTGGCAGGGCTGTCAGTCAGCATCTCTTGCTTAAGGCCTGGTTGGCTCTAGAAAATTAAGTGGGTTTAACTGTTGCTCAGGGGTGTGAAAAATCCACATCCCTGAGAGAGAGAGTTAAGCCAATCTAACCCCCAGTATAGACATCACTAGATCAATGCAAGAATTCTTCTGTCAATCTAGCTCTTGCCTTTTGGGGAGGTGGATTACCTATGCTGATGGGAGAACCCCTCCCGTTGGCATAGGTAATGGCTATACTGAAGTGCTGCAGCTGTGCCGCTGTAGCATTTCAAGTGTAGACATGGCCTGAGTTTGTATAGTAAGCCCATTCTGAGCTATGAAGGGTGTTAGTTTCAGTCCTGCTGGGGTTTATGGGTTTCCTCCTTTATCCTTGGCAGAGTTTGCTGGTCCCTGTCCTCCACAGATCTGGAAGCTCCTTTTGGCTCTTAAGTCTCTGAGGGACTGGTAAGGGAACCCAGCCCCACCCACTCCACTGGGTTCCAGCTCAGGATCCTTAAACCAGGCATGTGGAATCAGGCCTCAGCAACTCCTCCTGCTGTGCTGAACTTCCTACCTCCCTAGGTTCTGTAGGCTTCTACAGCCTGTATATCCGGTCATCCCTTCTCTGGGTGGCTTCACACCAGCTTTTCAGCAGGACTTTCCTTCTCCAGCTTGCTTGCCCCTCTGCTTTCCAGCTCTTTTTTATTCTCACAGCTGCTGTGAGGCTGCCAACCAGCATTGGCTGGTGATGGCTGCATTAACTTCTTGGTTGCCAGGCCAGCATGGGGTCTGTACACCCCATTACAGTAGCTAACCTGAGGAACAACTTGCTTGATCCTTGTGCCAGGGTGGTGATGCTGCTGTGGGTGCAATAATAAGGCAAGGATAAAGGAACTGGACAATGGTTCTGTGATTAGTTTTAGCTAGAACATGTGATGAAAAGTTGACTTAGAAATATAGAAGATCTGTAATACCATTATGTTTTTAACAATATTATAGATAAATTCAACTGGAAGGGAACTATCAAAGCTGTTCTGAAGCAAGCCCCAAACAATGAAATTTCAATAAAAAAACTAAGAAAAAAGGTACAGTAGAGTCTTCATTTTTAAAACCCCTTTTAGTTTGTGAAATAGTTTTCTTTTAAATTACCTATGTGAAAATATGTAACTATCCTACATAGACAAAGACTTTAAGTATATAGTCATATGCCGTTGAATGTGAACTGGTTAATTAGTAAATAGTATAAAGATTCAAAAATGCGTGATTAAGGAGTTTATTCTGTGATTTTTTTTAAATTGGAGATTCCCCCAATCCAGCAAAACACCACCTAAGGACATACTTAAGTTTGCAATTTCAGCTTTGAGTTGTAAGTATTAATAGATTTCTTGCTGGATTTTAATTAAGCAATATTATTGAATTGAGACATAATGTGTGTGCATTTTAGTGTGGAATGTTTAAGTAAAGAAGTGGAAATAATTCCTGTTAACTTGAACTATTTATTTATTTTTTGTTTGTGTAGGTTTTAGCCCAGTATCATGCAGTAGTTGGTGAACATCATAAATCACAAGAGGATCTTCTAGTCATATTTAATAAGAAAGTGAACAATAATCCCAAATTCAAGGTTTTAAAGGACAAAGTTAAACTCCTGAAATAGAAAATGAGTGTCTTCATAATGATCAAGTTTTACAATTGTAGACTGTCCAAATTCTCCTATCACGTATGCAAACACAGCTTTCACTGACTTCAGTAGACGTTGAGTATGTATCACAGCATAATTTAGCTGTAATTCTATTCCTGGATTCCCCACTCCTTTTCTTCCCTACACTTATATGTACAACTGAAATTTGGGAATGGTTGCATATGTTTTCAGAAATTTTGATTTTACAGAAAATATATTTTTGGTAGAACTTTTAACGGACAATGGAAAATTTGTTGCCCATTCTATTAAAATCCTTTTCATGTTACTGAATTTATGCAGGTGTGAATTTGCTTATTAAGACCCAGGTTGTATTGCACCTTTGCAGGAAGCAGTACAGCTGTAAACTTGATGATGTATTAATACAACACATAATGAAAATATTTTGTTATATGCGAAACAAAAATGTTTTGGTCCAAAGCTAATGGTATATGCTGCAGATCATACATACTAATATTTTAGCATCCTGTTTTGTCATAAAAGGAATAATTGAGATTTGTCTGTGTCAAGTCACTATCCATTTAACGTTTAATTTCCTAATGCACACTAAATGAAAATACATACCTTTATACACACAGAGTTAAATCTGTTCATATTTCATTACCATAAATATTTGGTTAGAAGCCAAGTAAAGCGTGGGTGTTTGTTTTTGTTTTGTGAGGGCTATTGCCTCAATTGGAAATTTGACAATAAAATACTGATAATGCCAGTTTACTCACCGCCCGCTCACCTCAGCGCGCCGCCGCCGCCGGCTCACCTGCCCCCCCCCCCCCCCCCCCCCTCCCCCCCCGCCGCCGCTGCCGCCAGCTTGCCTGCTCCCCCTGCCTTCAGCTCACCTACCTGCCCACCACTGGCCTTCTGCCGCTGCCCCTGCTGCTGGCTCACCCTCACTCCCCAGCCTGCCACTGGCCTCTTCACCACCCTGCCCACCCACCGGCCAGCCAGCTGTTGGCTAGCCCCACCCCGCTGCTTGCCTACTCTAGAGGAATGTGTTCTATTGCTCCCCGAGGAGCAAGGAGTTCATCTGGTAGGTGAGGATACTGTTGAGAGTGGTTCCTGAAGGCAGACGGGGGGTGGGGGAGAGGTTTGGAGGAGGTAGCATGACAAACTTGATTGTATAGCTGTGGTGGATGATATTCAGCACCCATTTGTCTGTCTGTTATTGTACTTGGTGCTAAGCGACCAAAGGGAGTGGAGGGGTCGTGAGGTCTTAGGCTCTGTGATTGGTGGTTCTCAAGCTCGTGCCAACAATACCTCGTGGTCTCAGGCTGGGCTTGACATGAGGAAGACAGTGAGGGGAGACAAGGGAAGCGAGATCTTTAATTTTTTTTGGTGTTTTCATGAGGTTCATAAGGTGATAGAATTGAGGAGTTCTGTATCTGTGGATGGATGATGGGCAGTGGAATTTGTTTCAGGGCAGGAGTCTCTATGCCCAATGAGCGGAGGGGAGCTCTAGAGTCTTTCTACCGTATGTATGTGAAGACTCATCTGTCTTTTGCTTGAAAAGATGGGATTCATCAAAGAGGAGGTCCTTGATGGTGTTCTGGATCTGGACCTCCCTAGGAAAACCAAAAGCATGAAGTCAGGACTCCCTATGCATCATGATAGCTATGGCCATGGCCCTGGAGGAAGTATCAGCTGTATCTACCACAGACTGTAGGACAGTTCTGGTTGTAAGGTTCCCTTCCTCAACGAGGGCCTGGAAGCGGGCACAATCTTCTGGTAGGGCATCAGTGACTTCCTTGAACTTGGTGTAATTCAGGAGGTCATATTTAGCCAATAGGGCTGGATAATTCGCTATCCTGAATTGTAAGTGGAGGAAAAGAAGACTTTCCTTCCTAGGAGATTGAAGCATTTCCCATCCTTGTCCTCAGGAGTGGACGGAGGGTGTTGCTGCTTGGTCCACTCTGCAGCAGCCTGAACCACCAGCAAGTTCAGAGCCGGATGGGAGAAGAGGAATTCTGATCCCTTGGTCGGGACATAGTATTGTTTCTCTGCTTCTTTGGTAGTGGCAGAACACGTGGCAGGGATATGTCATACAGCTCTGGCTGGCTCCAATATGACATTGTTAATTGGGGTGCTACTCTTGCCGATGCCAAGGTGTGTAGGAAATACAGGAGGTTATGCTGCGATTCTTGAATCTATTTCAATGTAATCTGGAGTTCTCCTACAACTCTTCCTAGCAGCTCCTGGAACAGTCTGAAGTCACCTGGTGGGGAGGGGGATGATGTAGTTACCACTCTGTCTGGTGAGGAAGAGGGGAGGAAGATGGGAAGGTCGGGACTGGGGTGTAAGTGTCTTCCTCTGCTATTAGATCTGTGAACCTGCTCGATGGATCCCTTGGAGGGGAAGCAGGTGGTGATTCTCTAGTGGATCGGGTGGATGCTGTGTCCAGGGACCCCAATATGGCCAGTAAACTAGATCTGCTAGTTCTAGAAGTGGTACCATCAGAGCTGATGGAACAGAGTATAGTACCTGCAAAGAGGGCAAGAGACCCCGTACCATAGGCAAATTCCATGGAGGGGATATGATCTCCTTGGAAGTGGAGGGGCCAGATAGCGGGAAGGGACTCTGGGTCTGGTAAGGCAAAGACTTCTTGAGATTCAGCCACGGATCTGGATCTTCCTGCTGTGAGGGGCACTCTTTCCTCCATTGGCACCGTGCTGAGAACTTCCCCGGTATGGGCAGTTCTTGTGCCTTGTGGGGTGCCAGTGAAGGTAGTACCAGTGGTTCATTGCCCGGGACAGTTGGATCCCATAGTTTCTGGGTCTTCTTCTCATGTCTGTTGTATTTGGAATGTGCTCTGTCCCTGTAGGCTGAGCTAATGGAGGGAGTGTCCATTTTCTTGGATTTAGAGGAAGAATTAGCCCCGTGCTTATTAGCCCCAAACTTCCCAAGTAGGCCCCACCATGAGGTCAGTGGGGTGGTTGCACCGGAATTAGACATAGTAGTGGGAGGCGTGTTCCTTGCTGAATCAGACTGAGGTACAGGAGGGGGTACCCTGGCCTGGGTCTGAGTTTGGTCTCATGGCCATCTCCACGAGATACTTGCAGAGATGAAGAACTCTGCCTTCTTGGATTCGTCTGGGAAATACAGCACCTAGCTGAAGTGTGAGCTTCTCCCAGGCAGTAGACAGCATTGATGGTCATCACTGACTGAGAAGGATCGCAGGCATGACGCACAGAGTTTGAAACACAGGGTCCTTGGCATAGTCCTGGGCAGTTTTACCAAGTGATATTACATCTTAGATTACTAAATATTTATTTTTAAATGTATTTTTCACCATATATGCTATGTTGATTATTTATACGTGGCTTGAAACAGTTAAAATATACTAGTTTGTCTTCATTCAATTTCCCTTTGTTGTTCTCTGGCATTTGCTCAATGTTGAAACTTACCAGAAAGAATTCTTGAAACTTGTTTCTATTGTGACATGAGGCCACAATAGGGAAAAGTTTGAGAATCACTGCAGGGGAGTGTTTATAAAAACATTTTGCTCCCTTGTCTTTTAAATCAACACAGTCATGAGGTTTCTTGTAACCTTTGATTTTCTTTTTCAAAAAATCTAAATATTGGGCTGCCAGCTTCTCTTTATAACAAGCTAACATGGAGTACTAAGGTAACAGGAAACTACTGCAGTGAGACGCTCAAATGTCTCCTTATGCTATATCAGTAAGGCTATGTTTTAGTCACGGGTATTTTTAGTAAGTCATCAACAGGTCATGGGCCGTAAACAAAAATTCACAGCCTATGACCTGTCCATGACTTGTACTAAATACCCCTGACTAAATCTTGGGAGGGGGTGCGGTCCAGGGGTGCCACACGTGCTCGGGGGGGCAGTCCAGGGGGCACCGCAGGTACGGGGAGGAGGTGGGGGCATGCAGGCCAGGACCCCCACTGATGCTGGGGGATATGGGCAGTGATGCGTGGCCTGGAATCCCTGCTGGTGCTGGGCAGGGGTGGCAGGCTCCCTTCCTGGCTCCACATGTCCCCGGAAGCGGCAACATCCCCCTCCCTCAGCTCCTAGGAGGAGGCGCAGTCAGGCAGCTCTGCACTCTCTCTGCCCGAGCTCCCATTGGCTGGGAACCACAGCCAATGGGAGCTGCAGGGGCAGTGCCTGCAGGGCGAGGCAGCGTGCAGAGCTTCCTGGCCACACGTCTGCCTAGGAGCTGGGGGGAGGGGGGAGGTCACCGCTTCCAGAGAGCCCCCCCTTGAAGTAAGTGCCACCCAGAGCCCTCACTCCCTTCTGCGCCCCCAGCCCTGAGCCCCCTCCCACACCCAATCTCCTGCTGCTGCTGAGGGAGGGGGCCACAGTGGCCCAAGACTGCCCCAGCAGTGGCCAGTGCAGCTGGCCCAGGGGCTGCCTGAGTTGTTCAGGTGGCCCCCAGACCAGCCACACCGGCTGCTGCAGAAGTCACGGAGATCCCGGAAAGTCACGGAATCTGTGACTTCCATGATAAACTTGCAGCCTTATATATCATATGTTGAACAGCACAATCTGTCTTCATTATTAAAGATATTTTAATTATTACTGTTACAATTTTTGGAAAGGAAAATAATACTATGGAAATTCTAATCTCAAATCCTAACAGGTATTTCTTTGCAAACTGTTTTTTTTTTTGTTTGTTTGTTTTTTTCCCCCCTTTAAATCAAGCAGGGGGAGGGAGTTTGTAAATGAAATATACAGGCATTTAGGTAGGCAGTTTAATTATTGAAAGGAAAAAGCTTCAAAGGATGCACATATATTTCTTCTCAGCACTGAGTTATACTGCAATATTAGTATAGTTCATTTTTTCCTTCCCCCATTGAAAAATGATCCTCCTACCTGGTGCTATAATCTGATTGCTTCAGTCTAATATATTCAGACCCTAACATGACGAGTGATTATATATGATGACCCCTGAATACAGAGTCTCAATGCATCATTTCATTCAGACACTTGTTAAGCTGCAACACTCTCCCTTATGAAGGAAATCAGAGAGCAAATATTAACTTAGTGTAAGATAAGCAAAAAAAAGGCATATTCTATATATTGAGCTTTACTCACAGGTTACCAGATCTCACAATGTATTCATCATTTATCCCTTTCTTCTCCCAATTAAGCTTTCAAGAAAAACAAGAATAAGTCCTCTAACTTTCTTTTCTGCTCTGTCAGCCAAGGAAAGCATATTATGTTTCTCATTAGTACTTTTACAGGAAGCGTTACTTTATATTGAATTCTAAATTTCACTTGGGCTAGAAGAAATCTTAGTAGTAGCTTCTTTCTGTGCAATAGAGAAAGTATCTTACTGCTTTTATATGCTGATAGAGTTGAATTGAAGCATCTCAAAAGTGTTTGCTTAAATTAGGTCATTTTAAAATATTTTTTTTCAAGACTCTAGGTCATGGAGCTTAATAGCGTTTCCAGCAAACATACATTCTCTTGTTTTATTTTACTTTTTGTGTAAAGGTAATGTTATAAATTAAAACAAAACAAAAAACCCTGCAGCATTTGTGCTATAAACTTGCTGTTAGATTATGAACCATTTTTCCTGTGGTTTCTTCCTTTATTTAAGTAGACTTTTAACTGTTTTGTCCTCAAATATATATTTGTGCTTTCACCCCTCTTTGTCTTATTGAATTTTTTGGTACTAA